AAAAAAATAAAACAAAAATGTTAAGTCCAGAATCAGGGCCCTTTAAAAGAACACACATTACCCAGTATTTACTATTTTCTCTTGTTGCTCTAGTAAATGTGACATGACCACTGGTAATAGTTTGATGCATTAACAGTTCAGATTCTTTTGCATGTCCAATAGAAACAGGTTGTACTTTACATTAAATTATAAGGGTACCAAGTCACTGAAAATGTTCTGGTATTTTCTACTCTAATACACAGACTTCACTATAAGTGAGTCATCTATGAAATACCAAATGAAAGTGCTTAAATAAATCATTAAACCTATCCTTTAAAAAACAAAATCCCTGGTTCATTTTCTAACAACTTCACACTTAAAATATAAATACAAAATATAACTGAATACATTTGTACTTGGAAAAAATGTTATGAAATTCTTACTCTAATAAAAGTGAAGCTATTATAAAACGATTAAAAAAATCAAATGAGGGGGAGGGAGGAGGGAATGAGGAGCTGATAACAAGGGCTTAAATAGAAACTAAAGGTTTATAAAATAGTGATGGCAACATATGTACAAATATGCTTGATACAATTGATGTATGGGTTGCTATATAAGAGCTGTAAGAGCCCCTAATAAAATGATTGTTAAAAAAAAAAAAGTAAAGCTATTAACAGATTTGTGTTTTTAAGAGGCATGGAAATTAACAGGAAGAAAGCAGAAAGAAATAAACCCCATAAATTTTAATCAATGGTTTGAAACTCCTCATTCAATGAACTTAATGAGAACATTAAGTTAAACACTAAAATTAGAATCAAATTATGAATAACAATCTAATCACCTAGTTTCTTCCTCTCCTTTCCTCCCTACCTTCTCTGCCTCCTTCCCTCAAAAAGGTCAAGAGGAGCTGTCATGCAAACAGTCACTAATATGCCTAATTTCCCCTCAACTGCAACTAATCAACTAAATAAATGAATAACCTGGGACAAGTGATTACAAAATGTTCCATTAGTGTGTGTTTGATAGTCTCACTTCATACTGTCTTCTCTAAAAACACCATCAAACATTTATCTAATTCTGAATATTCCTTTTCTTTGAAAAAGAGTCCCTCTCCACAGGAAACTACTAAACATACTTTGCATTAGAATTCCATAGATAATACAATGACAGCCCTGTCATGTTTGCTTTGGAAATTGCAAGGGGGAAAAAAAAAAAAGCACAAGCAGTTTTCCATAGGCAAATAGGAGTACAAGCAGAAGTTACCACCTCTTCTATCCTATGCTACATTTATACTTTGGGGTCTCCAGACTGAACAAGATATTGTTAGAGCAAAAAAAATGTGATTAAAAGATGTGGAAAGAGCAGTGCTCGGAAGTCAGCACTATTTGACACAAGTACAAAAGTCACTCAAATACATTTGTTAGGTAACTGGCAGAAAGAAAGAAAGTTTATTTTTAAAAATGTTCCCATTCTTAAGATCAAAAACTCCAAACTCACTGCTGTCAAATGGATTTCCTACTGACAGCGACCTTATAGGACAGAGTAGAACTGCCCTTTTGAGTTTCCGAAAGCTTCTTCTCTGTCCCACTCTCCATATACTCCTCCCTAATCTTCACAATTACAACTCAGTTCTTTTGGTTTCTATAAACTAATCCTTAAATATCTCTAACCAGACATTACATGGGCTTAAAATAAATAGCAAAAGATGATACATTAATCACTGTTCTAATTTTATGCCTTCCATATTTTTCTGAACATTGTTTTTATTTTCAAAAGGCAAAAAATACAAATTGGCAAGAAGTTCACACTGGTACATGCTTCTCTGTGCCTCAAAAGAGAAAAAACCATAACTCCCACTG